CATCTCATGCTACAGAGGATTCCCACGGCTGCATTCGGTTAACAACTCTCGATTTCTCTAAATTTTATTGGTTCAAAAACGTACGAAGCAAGGTGTGCCGCCCTCGACTGCTTCATTGACCGGCGAAGTTGGGTAGAAAGCAAAGGATTAGCAATCGAAAATTCATAGCTTAGCAGAGTGAGTAAAATAACATTTGATAGCTGTATGAGATGAAAGCAATGGAAGTAAACGAAAGTAATTAACATATGTAAACATCCACATGGGCGAAGAAACGAGGAACTCGTGCACATATTCAGTGAGAATATTAACTGAGATAACATTGGTTGGCAGAAATATTATTTGCATTGGCCAATGGTAGGTATATGGTTGCTCCTCTTTCAATCTGCAGCATAGAGTAAATGTAAAAGTATACTAAGCAATGATTTCTTCTTGGCAAAGTCCAGTTTTTCATGAGCTTGGTTCACTTTTAATTTTTCACATTCAACCTCCTTCGATGTAATGGGTGCTGGTGATAGCATCAACGCCACAAGCTTTACAAAAAATCTAACATATAAAATGCTAAGCTTCAGATGGCATAGTTGCACATGCCTTCTATCCCCGTGATGGTCGACTACACTTCGATGCAGACGAAGACTGGAGTTTAAATTCTCCAACTGGAGTGAACCTATACCAGGTAGTCTCAGTTAGAGATTGTAGAAGCTTTGAGCTGTTCGAACATTCTAGACCGCTGTTCACGAAATTGGCCATGTACTTGGTTTGGAGCACTCTGTAGATCCACAAGCAGTAATGTTCTCAGCGCGAAGGCCGTACGATCCAGACTTTGCTTTGGGTAAGTAAAGAAATTTTCAACAGTACGTTATGTAATTATGAAGGATTTGCGCACAACATCAAGTACTGTCCTGCAGGTAAGTTTTTGAAACTTCTTGTCAAACAACTCATGTAACACCAAACTCAATTTTAGCAGCTGTGTACATCGTATCCCAATGTAAAGTCAGCAGAAAACGACGTATGTAAATGATGCTAAAGCCCCGACGAGGAGGGCAGAATAACCTTTTT